GATAGGACATTGAGAGTTCAACTCAGGTCCTCTTAAATAATATAGTAATATAAATTTTGGAGCACTTCACAGTATATTCCATGATTTTTGGATTAGATAGCTCCATATTATGTAAAGAGGGAATCAAAGATGCCATCCACCTGATTTTTTCTCACCTTTCCACATTTCAGACCTAAGTTTGTGCAGCATACTGTGAAAAAACAAGAGCAAGAGGGGAAGAACTGTGCATTTTATTTCAGAATGAGTTTTTATATAGCCTCCTGTCTCTGTCATCTAGTTAGATTAATGAAGCTGTAAAAATGGGAATATGTTGTTTTCCTTGGAGGAAGTAAAATTAAAAAGTCTGGAGGATGCAGAAATATTGAGATACACAGCTAAACTACATGTGTGTTTTAATAGTGTGTAAATGTTATGGGCTGGGGGTAGTCTGTGCTACACCACATTCCAATGTCACTTTTTTCTCTGCTCCAGGAACCCCAGTTTGGTTCTACATGCAAATTGCACCTATAAGAAATGAACATGAAAAAGTGGTTTTGTTCTTGTGCACTTTTAAGGATATCACTTTGTTCAAGCAACCGATCGAAGATGATTCAACAAAAGGTAAACGTGAAGTATATTATTATTTTTTGTGAAGGATAGAAGTAAATGCTTGAGCTCAGACCTGTCACAGGAACGTGTCTTGTCTGTGATCTGTGTCTTGAACTGAGGAAATGTTTCATGACCTGTCAGAGTTTCAATGCCACTCTCCTAAATTATTAAAAAAAAAAAAAGATAAGTCACCATAAGTGGAAATTCCCTACCAATGTTTTTCTAGAGTCACAAGCCTTCATTTTTCTCTGTAATTCACTTCTTCATCACTACAGCTGGTACTTTCTAAAAATGACACAGTTTTGAGTTGTTTGAATGCTGTACTGTTTTGGGAGATCTTTCTATTACAGGACAGGTGTCATCTTTTCAGGAAAAAATAATTCCAGCTCCTTGTGATGAGATATTGATATTTCTTTCCATTCTCCCTCTTGGAGGTGAAATGTGAAACAGCCTGTTTGAGTCATTTATTACTGCTCAGGAGTGATGGCTGCATGGCAGTGGGCATTGTGCTTGTTACTTATCAGCTGCAGGGCAGGATTTTGTTGGAATGCTCTTGTCACTGAACAGCTCCTGGCCAGGCCTGCAGCCCTGCAGGAGAAATTGGTGGGGAAAGGTACAGAGGATCTGGCAGCATCATCCTCTGCTTTAGTTACAGAACATGTGTCTTGTGTCAGGTTTACATGTGTATTGCTTTGGGTGAAACAATGCATGCTTACATAAAGAAGGACATTACCCACATCTCTTGGAAGTTGCCTCCTGATGATTAATTCTTTACTACGCTTTTTCTTCACGCTTGAAGGAGGTTTGATATCTCACTTGGAGCTAGTGTGCTCTAAAACATCTTCTTTAGGATGAAGTTGGTTGTCATTTGAATGCAAACAGCTTCTTAGGATCTAGACAGCACTTATTGCAAGTGTTTGGATAACTGAAAAGTCAGTTTATAAAGGCAGACTTAAAATGAAAGGCTCCCCTCCGAGCTAACACTAAATATGACATTTTTTTTTTTTGTCTAGAGAGTATTATCTATAAAATTATAAGATCCTGATATAGGAATACCTTCTCAGCCATCATAAACTTTATTGCCTCGACAATTTAGCTAGCAACCTGCAAATGTTCTTTATTTCACTTTCAGCTCCATAATGTAGAATTCTGCCTGGAAATAATCTGAGAGTTTTAGGGTAAATGCCAGTTAATTAAAAGGACTTTATGGGTATCTGAAGGCATGGGACTGGCTCCTTGCTGCAGTATATGTAATACATAGTGTGAGCTCATCAAGGAAAAAACCAGTGTTTACAAGAATCTTCTTGTAAGGTTTCCTATTTGATGCCTTCTGGGGGAACCAAGATGTATTTCACATGGAACCAGCTCCCAAATCCCTGTTTTCACCCAGCTCTGTCCCACTTCCCACAGGACTGAGTTGCACTGAGAAGTGTTGTGGCAGCAGGAGAGAGAGAACATACTGGAGGTGGCTCTCAAATGCAGAAATGATGAATATTGCCTCCTGTGGATTCTCAGCCTCAGGGAGGTTCAAACTCTGCTGCCTTCCCTGGGGAGGCAGGGATGTGCTTCAGGGGCTGAGCTCTTCCCCTCCCCATCTTGTGGCTGAGGAGGAGCAGAACCCATGTGGCATCCAGAACAGGAATATTTGTTCCTATGGGAAAGAGCAGTAGCAGTGAAATGCGTGACTTGTGTGCTGCTGCTCTTCACTGGAGAGCACCATTAGTTAAAATGCCAGGTATTAATGATGGAAATCACAAAACATAGCCCTCAACAGCCAAAGAGGTTTGGCTCTATGTCTTAAGAGCCCTTACTTCTGTCAAAGTCATACTCTAAAACCCCCAAAACTCAACCAGAACATTGCAGAGGCAGTTCAGCCACATTTCTATGCCTTTAAAGCATAGAATTGGAGCCTGAAGGATCTGCTCAGGGTGCTTTGATTAGAGCATGGAAGAGCGTTGATCTGTCCCTCCAACAAACCTCATCATTACAAACCACTAGCCCCATTTTGATTTTGCTTCTGTATAAATTATAGCTTGTCTTTTGCATCCTTGATATAAAGAAAACATGTTCAAATATTTGCAGCACTTTACTCCAGGGGTGGGAAAACAGCACTGTGGCATTACCCTGTGTGTCTCAGCTGTGTGGGTCTCTGGGATCCCATGGCACTGGGATCATAGTGGTTCTGTGTCAGACATGGTGCTATGAGAGATACATCATTCATTGTCCCTGCAGATAACATTACAATGTGCTTAGAAGCTGCCAGGCCATTTTCTTTTTGAATTATGAGGTTGATAAACACATACGTTAAAATTTAGAGGAGAGTTTTTAAAGTCTTGTGGAAAAGGGTTTCAATAAAATGCTGCTGCTGAGTGCTGGGATTTGCCATTGAAAGGGCTATCTTTTTTTTTTTTTTCCTTTTTAAAAGAAGGATATTTATTAAGAAATTCTGCCAGGACCATGCAATACATAATACATGAGTAACTATGGTGCAGATGAGTTACTGTGTGTTACTTATGGGAGCAGTAAATTTGAGATAAAAAATTCAGCAGGAATAAAATATTGATGCCATTATGCAATAATCTCTCCATACCAAAACCTTCTGCACCATTCAAAGGTGTGTTGCTTTGTGGTGAAGCTTCAGTATGTCATGTTCCTGTGAGGTATTTAAATCATGGCACTGTTTGTATCTACACTGCAGAGAGTCTGTGTGTCCCCACTCCTGGAAATACCTGGTTTCTTGGCCAGATCTGCTTGCAGTGGGGTTGGCATCTCGTGGGGACCTTGCCAGGGCACAGCAGGTTTGGGGGACACAGAGTGGTGCTGAGGATGCAGATCTGCCCAAAAGTGTCGAGCAGCTTGTTGGGTTTGTGAAAACAAGGCAGACAAATGAATCAGTTGTCCTGCTACAGAGCACACTGCCAGGGTGAGGTGGGATATTTTTTTTTTCCTGATGTGGGTATAAAAGAGTGTTTGTTGAGTGCAAGAAATGGAGCTGATTTCATGGGGACAAGCCCCGTGTGGGCAGAGGGAGTCAGAGAGGTCTGGGACACTGACAGATGGTGTCTCTGCTTACCTGTGTGCTCACCACTTGCTCTGCTAATGCTGAAAGGAGGAGGAGGAGGGAGCTTTGCTTGCCAGAGACAATAAAAGTAATGAAAATTTTTTCCCAGGCTCACCCAGGGCGCTGTGATTTTGCTGCAGACCAGAAAGCTGTTGAAAACTTACTGGACTGTAAGCAAGACTTGAGAGAAGGGATATTTAAAAGCCACCTTCCTCCCATAAAATACAGTGACAGAGATCAAAACCCTTGTTTTCTGAGAGGGTACAGGCAGTCAGCTGTCAACTAAAGATTGGACTGCCTTGTTTTCTTGTTACTTGTGCTCCAATCTATTATTGCTGGGTGATGTGTGGGAGACCTGTGATGTATGGCAATGAAACTGTGACCAAAAACTGCTGTAAAGCCATTCCTTGTAAATGGAAAATTACTTCAGAAAGTGTCTAACCAGTCAAAAGTGTCTAAACCACCCCAGCAGCTCCAGCAGAAGCAGCAAAAATGAGGATGGAAGGAAGGATCAGCCTCCTGGTTGATGTGTTCCCTCCGGAGTGAAGGTGCCACCAGCAGCTATGGAGGTCTGGAGGATAGAGAGAACCCCTCCACTGGTTTGGTTTTGGATTTATGGTGCCCCAGTGGCACTACAAGCACTGAGCCAGTGGCTGATGAGCTGTGGATGGGGCAGCGTGGAAGAAGAAGAGGTGTGAGGATTCACGGTGAGGCAGGAGGCCACGGCTGCCCTTGGTGGTCACTGGGCCAGTGCTTTATTTTCTGGTTAAGGAGCTGTGCTGTATTTGTCTGATCTCTCCTTTCCTCCTCCAGCTCCTCTTTGCTAATAGGAGCATTTGTCTGATCTGGATTCAGCAGCAAGCAGCAGGTCCCACCTGTGGTGGCAGAGGGCCAAATCCCCAGGTCTGCCTCGAGGCCGTGCGCAGCAGAGGTGGGAGGCCATTACAAGCATATGAAAGATCCTATTATAAATTTTCTTTAGGTGAATAAAACCCAAAGGATCTTTTTTTTTTTTTTAATGTTTGTACCATTGTCAGGTCACAGTTGGATACTTTTATCAGCTTGCTGAGCTTTTATTCTGTCTTTACCCAATGGCCTTTTAAAAACATCTGAAGACTTTCAATTCCTCCAAAGACACACAGTGGTAATAATCTTCTGTTTATTTGTCAGGAAAAAAATTAAGCCATTTTTCTGGGCCCTAACTATTAGAAGGGTGAATGGGGCCACTTAAAATTTTAACACCATTTGATGCTGTAGATTCTATGGAACAAAAAGTTTAAGTATAGAAAAAAAATATCAGCAATTGTGGTTAATAGTGGAGTTCACCTAGTTGTGCAGTGGTTTTATTCCATTTGTTATCATCAGTTAAGAAAAAAACATGGCCTTTATGTAAACTTAGATTTTTTTGTTGGCTAGGATTCTCACTGGTTATCTGGAGTTTCTGTGGAGTGAGACATCAGGCTTGTCACATCTGTAGTGATGGGGAAGTTCTAGGGAATAATGATGTGATGTAGAATCAGGATGCAAAGTTGTGCTAACGAGCCCCCTACAAATCAGGATGGTGTGCTGTTAACAGATGGGATCAGGAAATGGCACAGCAGGATCCCGAAGTTGTTTTGTTTTTTTTTCTTTTTTTTTTTTTTTCCCTTTTCACTTGATAGAGCCAGACTCTGATAATCAAGTCTGTCTGGGACAATGCTGTAATGCTTCCAGTGATATAACTCTTTATGGTTATATAACTCTATATAATGATACAACTCTATCTCAGAGTGTGACAGGGCTATAAAAAGTGTAGTAGTTGCAGAAATATGCACTTATGGCTTGCTAATCCTTGCTAAGCCTATAATTCTGATCCTTTTTTATCTTTAATAAGTGCAAGTTATTAAGCATATATAACTAGTTGCACATGGGAACCTTTTTTTCCTTGAGGGGGTATCCAACCTGGTGATAA